TCGAAGGGTTTGGGTCTCCGTGAGGCTGCTCTCGGGCCGATTCCGGTTGCCATGCAATGCTAATTTGGACTTGTTCTTGCCTGGCTTTGTGTGGCTGAGAGCCCTGAAGACCAACCCAGTATCTCGTTTCTGCAAGTTTTGGTGCTAGTGCGTCACGTAGTGGCTGGGGAGCAGTAGCAACAAGAAGAGAATAATAATAAGAAGCAGGCCAAGAAGACTTCTTATCATATAGTTGAGCCCGAGGGACAAGGGACTGTTTACAAGGTCGTCAGGTTGTTTTTGCTGGCCAGGAACACCTCCTGGGCCTTTGCCCGCTTGTCGCTGCTCAGTCAGGAGTTAGTAGCCCGTCCGCACCACGTCAGTTAACCAGAGCGGCTCAGGATTTGGAATTTTAGGGTTCAGAGTCTACCAAGAATGTTCACGAAAAATGTGGCCCATGAATACCGCTACTCCTACAGTATCCCGGAGCCATGATAGCATCTCCCTGTGTGACTTGTTAAGTATATGTCAAGGGGACGGTCTGTTTTTCCACGAAGCAACTTGGCCTTCGCGCAGTGCAGTTACGTTAGTCAGTTGGTTAGTCAGATAGTCAAAGTCAGTGTGTTAGTTAGTTAGTTAGTTAGTTAGTTAGTTAGTTAGTTAGCTAGCGAGCTAGCTGGCTAGCGTGTTAGTTAGTTAGTTAGTTAGTTAGTTAGTTAGTTAGTTGGTTAGTTAGTTAGTTAGTTAGTTAGTTAGTTAGTTAGCTAGCTAGCGAGCTAGCTGGCTAGCGTGTTAGTTAGTTAGTTAGTTAGTTAGTTAGTTAGTTAGTTAGTTAGTCAGTCAGTTAGTTAGTTAGTTAGTTAGTTGGTTGGTTGGTTCGTATCTATGTGTGTGCGTGTGTTGACTTGGTGGGCATCAGCAACTCAAACCCTAAACACCCTGACCCGGAAGCTGCGGACCATAAACCTCGAACATTGAGAGTATCCTAAACCTTTCAGTCTGAGCCCTAGCCCTAGACCTTGCAGCATGAATCCGGAGCCTTCAAACTGGAACCGCGAACCGGCGAGCCGTTATCCACGTGTCACCATGCACGAACTGAAACCCCACACCCTGTGGATGGGCGTCGAGTTGCGGGACTCAGGCAGAGGGATGGTCGCTCTCGCTGCTCATAGGACCTGATAACAAGGATTCAAACCAAGGCTACCTTAAACCCTATAATTGCGACGGCTTTAGCCCACAAACTCTAAACCTGAAATCCTAAACCCGATTGTAGCAAGCTCGGGACGTCTCCTTGCCATGCCAGCCTTGTGCGAGTGTGTGTGTGTGTGTGTTCCGAAACCCGATGCCTTATGTCCAGAAATTCTAAACCCTCAACTTCGGACCCTCAACCCGGTTTCTACTCTAAAGCCCTGAGGTCCCAACCCTAAGGTTGTAATGGTTCCACAGACCCAAGCATTCTGCACATGGCACACGGGCCAGCTAAGTGGTTGACGTGTCCAATGACACGGCATGCGAGCGCTTGGCGTGCAGCGTCGGAGTTCATATGCGTCGGAAGCAACCCGATTAAGATTAGTCTGCCCGCAGCTTGACAAGTCCTGTTTACGTGGCCAAGCAACACATTACGTACCATCCGTTCTCCCGTGCCGTCCTCTCGGGAGTGATTTTCGACCTGCAGCCCATCAAACTGGAGTGGATTCCCGTCTCGTCGCCGGCAGACGATTCGACTGCGGCCTCCCAATGGCCTCGACCGACGACACCACCACGTTTGCGTTTTGCATGCATGGTGCGTGAACAGGCGGCACATCAGACGCCACCCCGGGCTGCATTTGTTGCGATGCTCTTGGTTTTCAACCCCGATCCCTCTGTGTTAACCTAGGTTCTGTGCAGAGAGGCCTTCCTTTGCGATGCAACGCGGTTAAAATCTAAACTTTTTGTCCCCAGTCCCGGAAAGGGCGAGATTGGCCGCTGCCGTAGAGATTTTTTTGCGTTTGTCGTCTGTTGTGTAGGTTTATGGGCTCAGATTCGTGGTCCGTGGTCGTTGCGGTTGGTCGATGATGTACCGCGGGGCGCCCCCAGCCTCGTTGCGTCGGTGTTGGCGCGTAGCAGAATTTTCGTGTCTGGTTGCGTTCGTCATCAAGGCTGTGCAGTTTGTCGTGAATGTATGGCTGTGCTGCGTCATGGGATGTGCCTGGGCCTGCTAGTCTCTGTGTGTGTGTGTGTGTGTGTGAGTGCCGAAACGAAGGCCGGAAGCGTGCACAACTTGGGGTCCGATGGTTGCAAGATGCAATTGGCTGTTGGTGTCAACCTTTGCCGTCAGAGATTTGTTTGCATCTTTTATGGTGTCCTTGGGTTACCTTCGCTGCATCGTGAAATTAATGTCTGCTTCCGAATGTTTCCTCCAAATGTCTTTGCCTAGCTACCTGGTCACTGGACATGGTCGTTGATGCGGTGAGGTGTGCCCGCAGTCTTGTTCTGTGCCTGTTGGTGTGTTGGCAGTTCTCAAGTGTTTGGTTGCAGTTGTTGGTTGTTGCCAGGGGTGGGCCTTTTGTGTGGCTCGTTTTGTTTATGAAGGCATGCAGCGGCATGCAATCAGCTAGTGTGCTGTGTTTGCGGGTTTCGCCCAGTGCCGAAACCCAAATGACGGAAGCGCGTACCAGTGAAAGCACCTGGTTGGTGCAGGGTGCTTGGGCGTTTGTCGCGGCGCCGTGGACAACACTTTTGCTTTCAGTTGGGATTTCCCCCCGAATGTTTCCGCAGCCTGTTCCAAAAACCGCACATGCTGCATTGTAGTCTGTGCAAACGTTCTGTTTCAGACCCGTCGGCACCAGCAGTCTTGCCTGAAATGCTTTTGTATCGCTTGGTCCGCGTGATTGTGAGTCGAAAAGCTTGGCTGTGTTACATAACTTAAACAAGCCCAAGCAGCCAAGCAGCCCAAACGATTAATCCCCCAATCTTGCCAACCCTAAACCCCACTGACACTTATTGCCATGCCTGCTTTGCGAGTGTGTGAGTCGAAACCCCAAAAGTCCAACTCCTTTTCCAATCTTAAGTCTGAAGCTGCTTCCAACTCTATTCTTGCGTCCTGACGCCTAAACAATCATAGAACCCCAGCCCTAAACGTGTCCGATGCGTGATAAAATAACTAGAGTAGTAGGATCTTTATGAGTAAAAACGAACCAAGCCAACCAGCAACAACAACAGTTACACTCTAGCCCTAGCCATCCATACCCCTGGTTTCTAAATCCCGCAGGTAGATGCCACAGCAGAGGAGGCAGCCGATGCCTCGGAGTTTCATCATCGGCTTGTGGGTTGGCACTTACGACCCGAGGTAAGCACCACTAGTTTTACATGGTTTTAAGTTTTACGTGCAGGGTTCAAGATTTATGGTTAAGGTGTCGATTTAAATCCTAGCTTTTGCGGGTTTCGGATTTAGGATAGCAATCTGAGGTGATTTAAAAGAAGACGGGGTAAGGACAGTCTTGGCTTCTATCGTCAAAGACTTGGGTGTGTTCTTTAGTTTAAACCTGAAGCCCTTGATGCACTCCACGGTGTCAGGTGTAAACGCTTGCAGGATCTGGCACAGGTTGACCCGCTAATCCAAAATCCGAAGCCATACCGCGAACAGAAGCCCACACCTGCAATTCAAGTCCCAGACGCGGAACCGAAAGCCCCAGAGTCGGGGTTTAGGGTTAAGTCCGAAAGCCTGACTGAAGAATCACGAGGGCCTTAGCAAGTAGGTTTGTAACAAGGGTTTTTTGTGTTGGAATAAGAACTTGGTGAATGGCGGTCCTGGGTGCCTGTTGCTTCTTTTCTCGGTTTTCCGGCTTTCGACTTCACCCGGCAAGGCTTCACGACGAACTGCGTGAATTTATGGTCACTCGAACGAGGTGAGCATTGCTAGTAATCTCAGCCACCAGCACAGTAGACAATAGGAGCCCGGCACTTAAAAGTTGGTCACAAAGCCCAACGGCTTTAGTTAGCACTGAGCTGATTTTCGCTGACTTGGATAGTTACCATGCCTAAGGCGTGCGGATGTGGTGACAACATCCAGCCAATACCATTGCACATCAGCACTGTTGAAGGACAGAGGGCCAGCGCGAAATACGATTTAGGACTGTACCCGAAAGCACAGATCGTGTCCTACAAATCCAACACGCCTCCTCTAAACCTATGGCGTTTTTGCCACCTGATCTACACCCCTTTCGAGCAAACCAGATTGCACCGGATGCTGTTGCCCATCTTGGCTCGCTTTTGAGTTGTGCAGCCCGAGAGAGCCAAAGTCCTCCAGAGATTAGTTGTTTAGGGCTAGCCGCCAACTTGAAAGGGTTTGCCCAGGGAAGCTCAGAGCCAAACTGCCAAAATGGTCGCAATTTTAGACGCAGCAGGGCCATTTCCGACATTGGAGGCCTGCGGCCCGAGTGCGTGATGCCGAGATAACCGCTTCAGAAACAGGCACGTGTCCTGTCTCGATCTGCTGATCTTTCGGATGCAACGTAGGACCACCACCATGATCCTCATCATCTTCAAAACGGTTTCCCTAGACACGATCTAGAATCTAGCAATGGTAGCGAAGGGCCTAAAATGTTGCTGTGCAGCTACGGTGTCCTCGCCAGCCCTGACAACAACGGGGTTGAAGGATTCGCAGAGAGGCGCTTACACGTCGAACTCCAAAGCTCACAAGCCTCGTCTGGAGTTAAGGCCCCTGGCCCGAACCATTTACAGCCACATATCAAAAAACCACGGTCGCAACATGTCGCAACCCTGTAAATCTTAGATCCAGCATAGCCCTTCAAGCCCTCGCATCAGCTCGCCAGCCCCCAGGCCCGAGAACCCGAAGCCTCGAACCCCCTAAACAGTGCCACGGGTTATCATCTCACCTAGCTTCCGAGAAACTCTGTACGAAACAGTTTGCAAGACCAGATCTCAACCCTCAACACGCCATGAGGCAGAGTCCAATTTCGCATATATCGGCCCCAGAGGATGAACCTAAGACCATCCTCCAACAGAGCCAAGGCGCCGACATGTACCATGATCCCAATGCGGGAATGCCTCCTCCCGTGCCCGCCGCGGGCTACGCCTACGGCGTGGCTCCTGCAGCAACCCGGCCTTGTGCTTTCGGGGGCGGGTTTAGAGTTTGGGCGGTTTAGAGTTTACGGTTTAGGGATTATAGAGTTTAGGGTTTAGGGTTTAGAGTTTAGGGTTGGGGATTGGGCCTCGTGTTCATGGATTGAGTTTGAGGGATCAGACATGCTGGAGTTTCGTCTTTGGTGACTAGGCTGGGGCCCAGGGATTTCGGGGGGTTACTTTGATCCGATCTTCAGCCTATGCGTCCGGAAGTATTGACGGTACCCACTGTAGGGTCACTGTGTCGGGTTTCGTGTGCGGTTCCGTGTATGTCTGAACGGACGGTTTCGTAGTCGGCCTTGGCGCTTGAGTTCGGAGTTAATGAGTACCGACGGCCCCCGGCAACGTTTTAGGGTTTAGGGTTTAGGGTTTAGGGTTTAGGGTGTCCCAGATTTGGCCCTCGAAGATTCGAGGCCCTTCGGGCGCCGCCTTGGTGTGTCGGGGTTTGAGTTTCAGGGACTGTTGGGGTTTTAGGGTGGAGGCTTTAGGCGTTGGGATGTAGAGCCAGGCTGTAGGACTTTCGGGTGCTTCAAGTAGGCCCCTTGCCCTACAGGTCCCGGATGCTGGGATTGCTTTTAGGTTGCAGGGAGAAATCGGTATCTTGGACACCAGACCCAGGCCCCTGTGCCCGAGAGCCCCTGGTCGCTGAGCAAGAAGCGTCTGAGGTTGGACAGCCTGCGCAGTACATCTACAAGGCCTGGTGACCAATGACCCCCCAAGCGCCAAGAGCCCCAAACAAATTCTTACATCGTCCTGAGGCCTCAAGCTTCACGAATCCCGCCCATCATGGAACCAACAGAAATCCTCAAGGCTCTGTGCCTCAAGGCTCTGTGCCTCAAGGCTCTGTGCCTTTGGCCTTCAGGGAGACCATCCCCCAAGAATCCAACTACCCTAAACCCTAAACCCCAAACCCCAAACCCTAAACCCTAAACCCCAAACCCCAAACCCCAAACCCTAAACCCTAAACCCCTATGGATCCTCGCCTGGCTTGTCCGAGTTGTGAGAGTGTAAACCCCTAGCCCTTTGCGCCTTCGGATCGGTGCTTCAGCTAGAGGTATCCTCCAAGCGAAGCGTGTCTTCCGATCGCCAAAAGTGTTCTTGCTAAGTGTAGTTTCAGTTACCCAAAGAAGGTAACCATAGTACTTCTCTAAACCCTAATTAAACCCTAAACGCTAAATCCTACCAACATAAGGTAACCATATTATGTACTATAGATCCCTATTATGGTAACTTAAACTAAATCCTTCAACAAGATCCGATCGCCAGGGCCAGCGGTATGGTGACCTGAAGCAACTCCAAGCGTCTTGGCTTTGTTTAGGGTTGTGGGGTTTGGGGAAAAGCGTTTAGGGTTTAGGCTCAGAAAGGGGTATGGGGTTTAGGTTTCTGAGTGCGATGTGCTGCGATGGAACTTGGCTGGGCAAGCTCCAATCACGCCCGTGTAAGAAAGGTTTCTGCTCAGTGGTTGCGATTTGGACACTTTTGTGCCAGCAGCCCGACGGCTGTTTGTAGCAAGCCCCCACTCAGACTCACTGCCCAATCATGTAGGGTTCGACCCAGCGATGCAGGAGGTAATCTTGGCTTGAGTTTCGCTGTTGCAGTTTGCAAGCTGTGATCGCGAGAGCCCCCTCACCACAAACACATACACGCACTGCCTGTTTTCAATCTGCGGCCCACGGTGGCACAACCCTGGACCTGGACACAGCTCCAAGATGCGAGGCCTCATACCCCCTGTCCTACAGAGGCCGGTATAGCTAGCAATACTGTCTGTCATCCAGTATAAAGTAACCCCACATCGTGTTTCAATTTTTAGGGACCTTCTCTACCTGCCGAAACCCTGCAGGCCCAGCTCCTTCGCCCCGACACAGGGCAGTTTCGGGTTGAGGGTTTGGAGTTTAGGGTTTTGGGCCAGGGTGAGGGTTGAAAGACACAAAACCCCCAAGCAGTAAGCCAGAGACGCTGCAACATGGCAGGTAACAGCACCGTCCCTCTTTGTGGGCTCCTAGATCCGACTTCTAATTTACCAAGGCCCAGATTTGATCCTCGGTTTGGTGATTGAAACAAAAATACCTGGGTCCCCTTGACTTGAGGCCCCGTCTAGCTGAGGTCTGGGGCCCCAAATCCACTAGGAGGCGGTTTAGGGTTTAGGGTTTAGGGTTTAGGCGAGCCATATAAAACTCTCAGCTCCAAGCCATTGATCTCCTCAGTGCAACCGGTGCTCAGAGGCAGCGATGCAAAGCTCACCACTGCCCACAGCCAAGAGCTCCTGGGTGCAGCTCCCTGTCGGCTATGGCCCTATTACACAAGCGCTCATTGTGAGTTGCATCCCTCACCCTTAAGACTATTCGGTGTATGGTAGGAGTCTAGCGGCTTGTGGTTGTTTTGAAGGGCTTCGGGTTGAGTGAAACTCCAGAGCGTGGAGCATCTGGGCCTAAGCATTTAGACCTCATGGAGTCTAGAATGCCGTCAGCCGCTGTAAGCCTTGATTGCCAAGCCCCTGACATTGCGTCAAAGAGCTGCTCAACTGCGTGGTCGTGCGGTGTAGGGTGAGGTTCAAGTTAGGCTCATGCTTATACCTATACCGTATATTATTTGTACATACTCTATCCGCGCAACTCGCAAAGACTGCTGCGATGCATTGCGCTGGTAGCGGTTATCGGCCAAGGGCTCGAGGGCTTCAGGCTGCCATGTATTTTGGGCTCTTGGACTCTGTGGTTTGGGATTGAAAGTGTCTTCATGTCGCGGCCGCTCGCACGGGGCGTAACGAGCAGCCCGCGCCAAGAACTCACGCTTTTGCTGCTAGATTTGCTAGAGTCTTCCTTGCATCCCAGCGGGAGCACCCGGCGGGGGCCCGGGCATGAACCACTTTTTTTTGTGTGTGTGTGAGAGTGTCTTGATTGTAGCTGCACCGATTAAAGGCATAAGCGACGGTTTTCGCTCCAGCGGAAGATAAGTTTCTGGAGCGGCTACCGTGGTCCCATGCCGCGCCGGCAGCCGTGGCTGCATTTCCGTCCAGGCTTTTGCCGTGCGGCTGTTGGCATCACTGTTGGCAAGCTGTTGTGGGCCGTCCGCCTCTCCAGGAAACCCTGGACAAGGCTCTTGGACGGTGAAACGGCAGTCTTCACAGTGTCTCATGCGGGTGCAGCCCGACGGGTCGGCAGGCCTGGTGCCAGGCGCACGACTTGAAAACCTGGGCCTCTGTGGATTCAAAACCCTAAACCTTAAACCCTAAACCTTAAACCCTAAGCCCTAAACCCTAAACCCAAAACCTGGGCTTCTGTGGATTCAGACTTAGAGTTTGCCGCTCGCTGCTCGGGGCAGCTCCGCGTGGTAGTCGAGCAGCAAGAATTTTCTATGCAAGCTCTAGGTATGAAGCCCCAAAATCATAACCCCTATAAACTTACTGTTTGCCGGTATGCTAGCACCAGCTAGTGTTCTACAAAAGTTTAAGTCGAGTTGGTCTCCGCATCTTCCTAGCTCGACGGCCAAAGGTCCGTCATCGGTAGATATCCCACCTCATGCCAGACGCTAAGACGATTACAAATTTGCAGAATTTTGGTGCTTAGACCCCGAAACAAACCAAGGCAAGAACTGACATAAACAGGACTGTCTGTGGCACAATAAGCACCTACGCGGTGAACAGGCTGGGCTTGATGTGTTCATCTAGCCGGTCGTGCTCATTGAACTCAATCTCAGTATCTCCGTGAAGTGTGACACCCCCATTTGTGGAAAAATGTTCAGAATGCCCTCCACTACGTGAAGTAGTGGGTCATAGAAAATTCGACCCCACACTCCTCTGAAATCCAATAGAATGGATTTCAGGGCTCGGCCACCAGATTTTGCGGAAATAGTTGGGCTTAGCAGATGGTTTCGGTCCAAAAGCGATCTTAGAAACCAGAGGATTTTCAATCAGTTATTGCTGTGAAAATGGGTATCACCTTTGCTACTCAATGGCAGTGCCCGTACCGCCACTGCCTTTTGCCACTGCCACTGCCGCTGACACCGCCACCGCCACCGCCACCGCCACCGCCACCGCCACTGGCCGTGCTGCTGCCACTGCGGCTGCTGATGCTACAACTACTACTATGACGACTACTACTATACTACGACCTACCCAAAAGATACAGAAACGCCTTTCCTTAAAATGGTTTCCTCCTGGGTTTCTGATCTGCCACATTTGGTCGTACCCTTTAGAAGCAGCACTGCACGGCCGTGCTTGGCCGGCATGGATCCCACCGACAGTCGCCCTCGACGTCGGGCCTGATGGCGAACCTATACCTATATATATATATATATATATATAAATAGATAGATAGATAGATAGATAGATAGATAGATAGATAGACAAGCCACAACATTCTACCCCAAATCCTAAACCCTTCCAAAAGGCTCGAAACCGGCCTCGAGCCGTGAGGCCCGGGACGCCGACACTCCGAACCTCTACACTCTTAGGCCCGACTTTCTCAAAACCTGCGAGCTCATGTGCTCCCAGGCTACTCAGAGACAAGGTCGCCTTGGATCCTCGCCAGAGCTCTCGTTCTTCTCCAGACGAGCTTATTGTTTAGGGTTTAGGGTTTAGGGTTTAGGGTTGGTTCAGGTTCGGACTCCTGGTCTCGCTCCGCTACTGTAGTTGCTTCTTTCTTTCAGCCGTAGCAACCTTTGACAATCATTGATACTGTGCCGAGCATAAAATTATGATCCTTGTCACCATCCGGCCGTATGTCTTGGGAGAGGGGCGTGGTTCTCAGGTAGTCTTGCACGGAAAAGTGCCTTTGCTACGAATTTGCATTAGCCGCTCATAAGGGAAGAACTCCGACCTGATGCGCCCTTCGACCTCATCCCTGAATCCTCGGACCAAGACTAAACTCCACGAGAGAGTCGGATCGTGAGAGCATGAGGGCTAAACCTGTAATCCCGCGAAAGCCCCCGCACCCTGAAGCCCTAAACCCCAAGAGCCCCACAGCCCTAAAACCCGAAAGTCCCGAAATCCGTCACTGCAAAGCAAGGCTTCAAGCCGAGGCAGAATTCATCACGGAGGAGATGAACTCTCCACAAATCTCAACCCTAAATCCTAAACCTTAAACCCCTCAGCTGAGGAGAAGAAGGTCAAAGAGCTCTTTCACCAGTACTCTGGCGCGGATCGGAAGCTGCAGCCGCACGAGGTGCGCTCGGCGGATGCGGAGGAGAGGGTTTAGGGTTTAGGGTCTGATCTGAAGTCACTGCTGTGGGCTATCAGTCCGGTCGAGATCTGACAAGGCCGTTGCAAAAAGGGTCTTTGGTGTTTAGGCTTTTAGGCCAACTTCATTCTTGGCTTGCACCTGGCAGTAGTGCTAGTTTGCTCCCGTGCGCGGGCTGCTGTATGTGTTTTCTTGGCAAGCATCCACGGAAACCAGATGCATTTCGATTTCCTTGTCGTTGTAGAAACTCGCTTCTCTCGATGTCAGCGACCCTTGCCCTTCGCATATGGTCAGAACTTGCCGAAGTCAAAGGATCTTAATAAAGGCGGCCCTGAACATTACGAATAGCCTGAAACTACATACCTTCTAGTAATACAAGAAGCCCCGAAACCTAGGGTTATTAAGGCCCTCTATGACACTCAACCACACGAAATGTCAAACTAGTCTCTTCCGACCGTGCAGAGTCGCTGTTTGTTGCTTCCTCGGTTGCGCCGCCAAGCCAAAAACTCCACGGATTGAATCATCCCTCGATTGCCTCAGAGCCTGCCACCCCATACAAGGTGCTTCCACAAAATTTTACTTTAAAGCTGTGCGCCAGCGAGACTAATCCTGAACGGCTACTGGTAAAGTAAGTTTCCTGAAGGTGCTGTGTTACGTTTGAAATGTCAAGGCCCTGATCTTCAACCAGAACACCTTGTAACTCCTGAATCACCAGGCAAATGGCCCCAAATTCAACAAGCATTTATCCTTGCCAAGCCCTAAGACTTAAAGCCTAGACCTATAAACTTAAACCCGACCCTACACCCGCAAGCTTAAACCCTGAACCTAGGTCCACGGCCTTGCTTTCTCCCTTGGGGCACAGCTTGGCATTGACCCCACGGCCTTTGGTGACATCCAGGCGCCAGGTATTTTCTGTGCTTCCTTTGGGTATCTGAGAGAAAAGATGCGATTTCATGGTCTTTACGGCTTCACGGTTACAGCCAGGACCCCAACATCCGAGTCTAACTCAGCATTTCCCTTCATCTATGGGATGTTGGAATCTCTGGGAAGAGTCTCATAAGGCTTTTAGTACATCATGTCTTGGAGAGTGCCGGATACCTGGAACCCAAGCCACCAACATCTTTAGGCCCTCTTGATCTAATCTCCTTATATGCGCCCCTAAAAAGGTTGGCTATTTAAGGTTGAGGTAACCCTAAACCCTAAACGCAACTTAGCCCTGAACCCTTAACCCTTAACCCAACTAAAGCCTAAACCCAAAGGTGCTAGGCAAGTCCGAGAGTGAGTGCTGAAACGCGAAGGTGCTGTTCCATCGTTACGACTTCTCGGGAGACGGGGAGCTGGATGAATCCGAGGCCTTGCACTTGCTCCTCGCCTTCTTTGTCTGAAAACTCTGCTGGAGCTTTAAGGGTTTAGGGTTTAGGGGTTTAGGGTTTAGTAAGGGCAGCAGTCGAGTCCCTTGTGAAAAAAGGGTTTAGGGCTTGGGTGCTCTTGAATTGGGGTCTAGACAAGGGTTCCTCGGGGGTTTTAAGGCGAAAGAAAAACAATTCTCAAATTGAGGGGTACCTTAATTTCGGGCTCCTTATTATGGCAAGGATCCCCGACAGGGATAGGGTTTATATATCAGGGTCCGTTATTTCGTGATACTTCCATGAGGCTGAGAACTCTGTGTGGGGGTGGTTCGTTTTTTCCGTGGTGCTTCTGCCTCAGAGCCGAGGATCACACACATGCTACGCGTCTTCCGGGAGACTCGGGCCGCAGCGGCTGTGTGACGGCGGGGGTTACCTCGCAAATCCTCGCAAGGGCTAGATTTCAGTGTCTGGCACTGAAATAGTATTCTGAAACCAGGAACTTTCAAAATGCAGGTCGGCCAAACACAGGATGTGTTGAAAACGGGACTTGCTCGACACCGGAGATCCTCCAGACAAGTCGCTGTCCAACCCCCGGCACACCTGTGCTTGCAGTGTTTGTGGCATACGAGGAAAGCCCCACACCCGGGATTTCGATCCCTGAGTACATTCGTAACTATGCCTAGCTCAACCCACACCCCAGAACAGGTTCCTGCCGGGCTCCAGCCCATGAAAGCTTTGCGGAAACTCTCCAAAACCCTCTAGCACACCCGAATGGAACTGAGCTGGAACAGCATTGAAACAACGACAGCTGGATCCTTGCTCAACCCCTAGACCCTACAGCCTACCCCTACACCCTATCCCCGAACCTTACCCTAAACCCGAAACCTCAGATCTTCAATTATTCGCCTCTGGTATAGACACTCCTTATAGCAGGATCTTAGCTGTAACGGCCCTCAAGTAAGAACTAATCTCAAGAACCTCCTAACCCCGAAGCCCCAAACCGCTCCAGGATGCAGGAGGGAAACAAACACGCTCAGGATGGCCTGCAAAGGCAGCAGCAGCAGTCCCAGGCTTTGCCCATGCAGCGCCTCGGATGTTTCAAGTTCCATGAAGAGCAGCATCCTTTTTGTGTTTCTTGCTGGCTCTTAGGTCCCTCGGAGTATCTCTTAGTCTCGAATCTCGCAGCGAGGGCTGCAGAACCTAGCAGTGGGCTTCGAGGTTGAGGGGTTTTCTGAGCATGAGGGGACCCAATCCTTGCGCATCCCTGAAAAGGATCTTCGAAACAGTGCTTATTTTGATCATATAGCAGTAAGGGAGAGAACCTAACGATCTACTTGCGACCTCGTGGCACCGAGGCCCGTTCCAGACTTCTCTGCAGAGTCGAACCCTGGCCTGGATTTTCATCGAAAAGGGGCGCGTGTCATAACTGGGGTTTTACGGATTCCGGGGTTTTTGGGATTTCTGGGATTCGAGGTTCTTGGTTTCATGGTTTTGAGACTCAGCACGCCTGCATGGTTCAACGACAAGATACGACGGCATGGGAGGGTGACATGCCCGCATACTTGTGTCAAGCTTTTCCGGGTTTCAAACTTATACCTTCCAGCCGAATCCTAATGTCAAACATTGAACCGAGCATGATGACACGGCTTCACCCATGTTCTGCTCGATTCTTCCGAGGATCCCTTTCAAGCAGCTGGACCAGGCATTTGTCCTCCAGCCGCTCGGAAGTTCTCCCCAAGAGCCGTCGGAGGGCCCTGAATCCCAAACCCCAAGGCCGCAAGCATCCTGGCTTTTTCGGATTTAGGGTTTAGGGTTTAGGGTTTCGGGCTGCCGAGCTTGGGATTCTGGTATCAGGGCATATGGATGGAGCTTGGGCTGGAGGATGGTCTCTTGAAAGGCTCAGGCGCTTGGGGTATGCGAGCCTGCAGCTTTGAGGGTGCTGCAGCTTGATGATGTGGGGCTTGAGAGGAGTCTGCCAGGGTTTAGGAATTACAATTATGGTATAATATGCCCCAAATAATGTATATAGGGGCCTTTAATAATTAGAATAGGGTTTTGGGGGTTCCTTGTTATACAATTATAGCATAATATAACCCAAAACCCTATTCTAATTATTAAGGTTCCTACATTAGGGCTCAGAATACGCCGGCAGGAGGCGATAGCTGTGGCCCCAGGCACCGAAAACGGTGCGTGCACTTGCAGGCGAGCCATTTACTCCCCGAGCTGGCACAGGCGACGACGACAGCGTCGCTCATCGGCCAGGCGGTGCCTTCGGTGTGGGAAGCACCCTGGTAAAGCTGGTCTTCGACTGCTGGCGTGCCATCACGGCACGGCCCCGCATACAGTATTGGCCCTGCGATCCGCCCTACATATGGGACGAGGTAACCGGAATAGCCAACCATGGAACTCCGGTGGCTACAATTATCGTGTCTGGCCTGGTGCCTTTTCTCCGCCAGGGGGCAAAGACAACAAGAAGCGCCCTTGGAATACGGGAGATCAACGTACAGAGCCAGTTTTCCCGACTTACGCTTCTGTGAATGTGCCACCCGAGCGTCCCAGTGCCGGCTCCCATGGGGATGGGCCTGGTGCTCAGGCAGCGAGGGGCTCGGCTACACCTGCTATCCAGGCGGCTCTCAATTTGACCCGCAAAGCAGAGAACAAGGTGATGCGTCTCCACGAGTCCCACAAGGAAGCGAACGTCAAGTGGGGGGAGTTCGAGGCGAAGATGAAGGACGCCTACCGAAGGGAACGAGCTCGTTTTGCTCGCGACCTCGAACGCATCGCGAAGGAGACTGTCGAGGCAGCAGCTGCGCAGGAAGCTGCACGACTTGGGCTACGGGCGGCTTTTGTGGGCGAGGCCCAGCCGAGTCCCCAAGGCCGCGATGTAGATATGGCGGAGGGCCAGGATGTCGAGGAGATGTTTGCAGACTGGGCCAGGGAGGACAGATCTGCAACGGACGCAATGGTGCGAAGAGCTTTGGGAGCCCCGACGGTCACGCCATCGAGGCCTACTCAGGCTATGCCTCGGACCCTTACCATTGGTGGTCGCGCAGCTCCCCCTGGCTTGGCCGATGCAGGCGCGTTCGCAGCCACCTACGATCCATACTCCTTCGCCCCTTCTCCGGCAGCAACCACACCGAGTCAGATGGCTCCTGCAACTGGCGGACAGCCTCCGCTTGCTCCTGCTGGAGCTGGTATGGAATGCCCTTTGCTGGCGCCTATCCCGCCGCCTTCGGAGCCTCCTCCAGCGCCTGCCGATTCTGGTGTTCCGGTCGCCTATGGAAAAAGTCCGACCCTGCAAGAGCGTCTCCACAGGAGGCGCGCTTTGGAGCCCTTCGGGGCTATGCGCACCCCAGTGCTGGCGCATGGATCGACCGGGGCCTTGCTCGAGACCGCGGTTGTAGAAGGCGAGGGACAAGGACTTCTCCGAGGCGCACGAATTGTCGACGACGACGACGAGCACGATGGTCAGGACATAGATCGTGTCCCCGGATAGAGGTTGCTTCCCTGAGAAGGACGAGGTTATGTCTCCTCCCTGACGGAGGCTCTATCGGAAACTGTTCTGCAGTTGTCTGGTGGGTGTCTCCCGATGGCGGATACCTCTATCCTCGTTATTCTCAGTTGAAGCAATCGGAGGTTGCTGATGTCGATGTACAGGATGATCGTGGGTTTCGCTCATCTGTACAGGCCGGTAGCTTTTGTCTTTTGGATGTTTATCGTCCCTCGGCTCGGCTCCGATGTTCTGATGTCTGTCGTTGTTGGATTTTGGAATTCACCGACAATGATGCAGTCTCCCCTTTCTTGGATTTCTTCCAAGCCTCACTGGACTTGGGCTTTGTGTGTGTGCGAAACAGTTGCATCGGTCGCTCTGGGGCAACGACCACACATCGCCCCGGCTTCAGTTGCTGCGTTCTTGGTCCTTCCTATGGGTTACCCTTTATATTTCCTGGCGCCTGTGTCACCTGCGCCGTTTGTGTTCCTGCCGCAGACCCTGCTTTCTGCATTCCGGCACTTTATCCTGTTTCCTCCAGGCGGCCACGTGTTGACTTTGTGTGTGCGCGAAACAGTTGCATCGGTCGCTCTGGGGCAACGGCCACACATCGTCATGCCTCTGATTGCCCTACCCTTAGGGTTTTTAGTGGGTTTAGTCCCCTTCCCCTTAAGGGTACCCGTGCTTTTCCGGGTGTGCCTTTGGGGCTTTCCCGGCTGGCTTGTTCCCTGCGAGGCAGCGGGCTTTCAGTAAGCGTCAATAGCGGGAGCGCCAAACAGTTGTATCGGTGGCTCTGGGACAACGGCCCCGCTTCTCTGCTGCCCTTTTTGGAATCAGATCTTGATGATTCCTGTTTGGACCCTATCTTTGGGTTCCTCTCTTTCTGTGTGGACCTATTGTTGCCTTTCGCTCGCAGCTTTTGCTGCTATGTGATGCTTGTTCTGGCGCGGGTTTGCTTCTGGCGCACAAGACCAGGCAAGCGAGGCAGGTCTCTTTCTTGTTCGAGCGCACTTACTTGGGCGCACAGTCTGGTGCTTCTCCCTTCGGCACGTTGCTCCAGCAATGAGCCCGTCCTAAACTGGGAACCTTGGAAGAATAGCCACGGCAGGCGCGGTCTGCATCGTGGTGTGCACAGGCCCATTCATGGATGGCATTGGCCTTGGCTCTGCTTCTTGTGCCGCCTTGTAGGGTTTGCACATTTTCCATGTCCTGTACATGCTTCCGGTTTGGGATTTGCGGGCTCTGCATGGGTTGTGACATTTCCTACAGCTCTTGCAATGACGCGTCCTGCCCGGCCTGGCGACTCGCCTTCTAGCAGTCGGGCTCCCCATGCCTTACACCCTGATGAGCTTACCTATCATGTAGGTGTTGGCTTTCCAGAGGTGCCCTGGGCTGACCCCGAACGGCAAGGTCGTGCCCTTGAAGCTTTCTGTATGCACGGGGACGCATGGCCTCCAGCTGAAGGTGAAAACGATGCACATAGCTTCTTGGGAGTATATGTGTACGCCCCGTACTATAAGCCTATCGCGGTTGCTGCTAAGATTAGTGCTGGGGCTGGCTTGCAGCAGGCCTTAGATGATATTGCAGATTGCTTGTCTGGTGTCCCGGAGGGCACACTGCAGAGTGTTGTCCCGCTGCGCCCTCAGCGATTCAGCGACTACATGTCTGTTATTCGCTTTCCGACGATGCTTGGCCACGTCGGAGATGGCTATGCTGCCGTTGTGGCAGACCTCACGCGGGTCGGTGGGCACTATTTCGCAACCATCATGCCTAGGCAACTGTCCTTCGACACCTTGATGGCCTTCTTGCAGCCCCTCACTCATTCAGCTGTCGATGACATGCGCTTGTATGTTGGATGCCGGTCCAACCCATGGCCTGTTGAGGCTGTCGTCAATCTCTGTGATGGTGATGTAATCACTGCCACTAGTCACCCGCACGCCGCTTTTGCGAAGCACCGAGTCGAGGCTTTGCTCGACCCTTCTAGGTGGGGGCCTATGCGACACTTCTTTGATGTCGAACTTCACCGCAGTGTGTGTGTACTCTACAAGGCAGAGCGATTCTGTGTGCAGCCTCACCATCATTATGGTGTTACAATTATTGATCATGTTATGGCGCGCATGAACCTCCAGCCTGGGCGCGTGGCCATGTGCACCTTTCACCTCCCCGACCTTGATGTGCAAGGACATTATTGTCCTCACTTGGTTGCTGTCTTCGATGTGCCGCAGCTTGCCGACATTGAGGCTACCAGAGAAAGGCAGGACTATTTCACTCTCTGTGATTTCAGGCCTCTGGGGTTGAAGCCCTATTGTGTGCACTCCAATGTGCCCAAGTTGCATATTCCCAGCCTCTTGTCAGATCACAATGTTGAGCTGCCGTCTGCACGCCGCATTGCTGTACATGGTGGCACTAGGAAGGGGGATTATGTCACTATCCGAGGCTCCTCCGTGCTACTTTGCTATGCTGAGGAGGCCTCTGATGATTCTTCGAGCTCTGACTCACCTGTGCATCCGGAGTGGCCTTTGCCGTTTGCGGGGCCTCCTGTCCCAATGCCGGTTGCTTCTTCTGCTGCGAACGCGCCGTCTAATGAAGTGCCTGGAATTGATCCCACAATACCTGGAGGCCACAGCTGGAATGCCGCTGGCGATTATGAGGATTCCTTTTGGACACCCTTCTCTCCTCCAGACTGGGGTCAGGACCCCGATGGTCCCTCTTCGGAGTCCCCTGGACGGGTTCCTGTTCCTCAGAGTGGGCTGTCAGGTCATAATCCGGTGCCCTCCCAAGACCCCCTGGACGGTCCAGGGACAGGCGCCATTTTAGATGAGCGCGAGGACTCAGTTCCTCCTTTCAGTGATTCGCTTCAGCCCAATGCTAGCCTGACTGCGGCAGGCACCAGTCATGCAGGTGGTTCTGCCCTCCGCAGTTTTGTCTACGCTCCAGAACTGGCGCCTGAAATCATTGATGTGGTTGTCCCTGCCCCATGCAGTGTGGAGGCTTTGCTACACGCCGTGCAGGTTAAGCGTCTCCTAGATTACAGCGAGAACTTCTCTGACCTTTTCCCAGTCTCCCCGCAGCCCTTTCAGGATTCTTTCTTGATAGTCGCGGTTCCCAGCTGGCAGGTTGCTCGGCCCACAGTCCTTCTTGACTGCAGCAGGATCGGTAAGGCACTTTTTGCTGTCGTTCTGCATTTGAGGCTTAACCGTGAATCGCTACTGGTGGCAGCAGGATT